AGGCATCCAGCCTCTTCTTAAAGACCCCCAGGGTAGGGGCCAGCACCACTTCCCTTGGAAGTTGGTTCCAGCTCCTAGCCGCCCTAACTGTGAAGTAGTTCTTGCGGATGTCCAATCTATACCTCCTCTCCATCAACTTGTGCCCATTGCTTCTTGTTATGCCAGCGGGCGCTAGGGGAAACAGCGTCTCCCCCAAACCCTTCTGGTCCCCCCTAGTGAGTCTATAGACTGTCACCAGGTCCCCCCTCAGCCTTCTCTTATGGAGGCTGAATAGGTTCAGGTCCTGCAGTCTCTCACTGTAGGGTCTGCCCTGTTGTCCCCGGATCATGCGGGTGGCCCTCCTCTGGATCCTCTCCATGTTGTCCACATCCCTCTTGAAATGTCCATTTTCTATCAGAGAGGAAAGCAATGCTTTTGTGACTGCAAAGAGAAAAACAGTTCAGGTATAGATTCATAGTTTCATAGATTGTTAGAGGCTGGAAGGGACCTTGTAGATCATCAGGTCCAGTCCCCCTGCACTAGGCAGGAAAAGACAACTGGGGTCAAGTGACCACAGCGAGGTATATTTGGAGAACTGTCTTGATGATGTTAAGGACACTTGCAGAAAGCTTTCTGCCTCCTTCCACATAGGCAGTTGGCATATATAGAGGCAGTATCAGTACATTTCCTTCAAGATTCTTCCGTTCATTGATTCCCTGAGGCTATCCAGCTTCAGCACAAGGGTCAGGGGAAGATATTCACCAAAACCAAAAGTTCACAGACAGCTGAAATGTATTCATTCAAAAACAGGAATGAAAAGTTCACAGACGTTTTTTCAGCATTCACACAAATCCAGGTTCTGGCCTTGTCAGTGTAACTCATTTCTGAACACTCAGTTCACTCAAAGTAGTAATAAAAGGATCCTTCAAAGTATCAGTCATGCATCTATATAGTTGAAATCTGCTTGTTAGAGCTGCCTGGAAGCAGTTGCTGCTGCAAATTCATTGTAACTTTTTCAAATATTAGGTCCAAATTCTGTAATCTCATTCATACAGGAGAACCCTTGTTTCTGTGTGGAACTCCACTGCAGCCAATAGGCCGAGTGGATTATCTGGCAGGATCAGGGCTTTAAGTGCATATTAAGTATCAGAATATCTGATTACCAACTTGCTACATTTCTTTTCTGAGCAATACAACAGATAGGGGGCTCACACTGCTAAAATTGGTTCTGACAAACACTGTTTACCTCACAGATGAAAAACACACATTCTTTAATTGTTGCTATTTTTCTGAGTAATCAGCCTCAGGCTGACTTCTCACATCAGTTCTTTCCAGATAAATATGTTGATGGCTGAGTTATAACTTCCTGAAATAGGTTTGTAATAAAGTGTTGACAGAATGATTGCGTAACAGATGGTCATGGTCACCATTACAGTAACAGAGCAAGATTTACACTACAGACCTTAGACAATGAAATAATTGCTATTTTTTTCCCTTGCAGTTTCTGCTTTGTGGCATATGTGGAATATTGTGCGCCAAAAAAAAAACCGGACTTGTTGTAAGTTTTTGTTCTACTTGTTCTACTGAATCAATTCTTGAAATCCAAGCTTACGTAACTTGAACTCTTTTACCTTAGAAAAGTTTTGTCCAAATGTTGCTGATAAAGAGTAACGCATAAATAAATTAAACATCCAGGCAGAAAAAAAAAATAAATCAACCCTTCAGTTAACATAGCAAAGTAAGAACATATTGAAATATATACAAGTCTTGCCCATCAATGCCTCAGATTAATCCCTCTAAGGATTAAAAGCTTGATTTAACTCCTGTTAAAAATCAGTGAAGATTGCTGATCATTTTATTGGGAGTTTGATTTGTGCCTTTTCTAGTCAGCCTTGTGAAGTGTAGGAAGGATTGGGGCCCACAGTTTCTGGCTCAGTCAGATGGCAGAATTAGCTGAGTACTGTTTTTAATATGAGGTTTTCTGGGTAATGACCAAGCCAGTTCTAAAATCATTACAGACTTTTCTGTTTCTTATAAGATTCTGAAGTACAATCATTTTTATGACTGCAGAAAAATGATGCAACTGCTAAAAGGGCAACTGCAGAAATATTTGATCTATAGGTTAAAAATATGGACCTGATTTTCCTATGATCTACCCAAGAACATATTGCAACTCTAGTTAATTCAGTGGAGCTAGTCTTATAAAACGAATGGGAGTGAGGGAAAAATCAATCTAAGTTTACTTTTGTGAGTCAACAAAGACTTGAACTCCCAGTTAAAGCAGTTACATTTTTTAAATGTTTGGACCATTTTATTTTATAGAACAACCCCATTGCTTCCAAACTATATATTCCTTCTTTCCTCTGTCAATTCTAGCAGTCACGTTATGTAAGCCCTCACCAATGAACCATGAGCTATAGTTTGAGAACCACATTCTATCCCATTGCCATATAATAGTGGGCCATTGGCTACTGGTGCTCTGTGGAATATTTCCACAGGCTCCACAAATTGCTTCTATCACTATTGTGAAATGGGCTTAAACAGTCACACTTCCTGTCAATTGTAGCTCAGTTCACTCAGTTCACTTCTCTATTCCCAGAAGTTTTTTTTTTACCAAATGGAAAAAAGGTACTTCACTGTCTCACTTCACTTCACTGCTTCATTGCTTTGATTGTTAGGGTTATTACTGGTGTAAAGTTAACCAGGATCACATACGAAGACTTCACAAAACTTCCAAAAAGCAGCAAAAATCAGGAAACCAGAATCAAACTTCGGAATAACTTGGAGAGCTTAGAAAAGGCATGCTGGGTGGATGGTACCCACTACTAGAAGAGATTCAACACAAACAAATGAAAAAAAACACACTCAAGGGGCACATTGCACCCCACTGCACAGTTGGTACTGCACAGCCCTGGCAGTGCATGGATTGTTTCTGACCCTACTGCACAGTAGTGGCGGCATCACAGTTAATGCCCACTGATGCTATGTCACCATAGCAACTAGCTGTGTTGCTGTATCTTGTCGCTACAGTGAGGTAGTGTCTCATGTAGACACACAAGGAGTAAAAATAAATAGGGCAAAACATAAACCTGAATCCAATCTCATAACACTTTAGCAATATAAAATGGATGTAACTTAGTCCAGATTCAAAGAATTGTATTTCCGAGTTCTTAATATAGAACTGAAAATCAGGAGTCCTAGCCCAGTTCTACCCCAGTTCTTCACTTTACCTCACGGTGCCTTAACTGAAAAATGTTGATTATGAATGATACTTTATTACATAAGAATTGGAAGGGAGTCTAGAAATTAATGTCTGCTCATTTCCAGTGATTTCTGACCCTTGAAATATGCATGGTGTATTTACTAAGCATCATTATTTGCTACTTTTAAGGGGTCTGCTTCTTTTAATGGGGTGGAGAGAGGGGGAGAGTTGTCTGTTTGCTCAGTTTCTGGAGAATTTCATTGTGACATAACCTCTTTTGTTCTTCTAACAGATGATACTTTTTTCAGCCTGTTGCATCTGTGGACTAATTGGAGGAATACTGAATTTCCAATTCCTTCGTGCTCTCACAAAGAAGTCCTCTGCTCTCTATTCTTTGCATCTTGCCTCCATGTCTCTTGCATGCATTGGAATTGGTGGCTGCACCCTTTCTTCATGGCTCACTTGTCGGCTAGCCAGCTATGAACAAAGGAGGATGTTCTCAGAAAGAGAACATTCGCTGCATCACTCCCATGAAATGGCAGAGAAAGTGAGTTGTGTGCCTTTCTTTATCAGTGGTGCTTTTCTTACAAAGGTACTGTATGTGTTAATGTGCAATTGGCAATAGGTGAATTCAATTTTTGGCTTTATATGAGGAAGAGCTTCAGGGAAATGAAATGCTGCCCTTCTGTATAAGCTGTATTCTGTTTTATCATATGGAGTTATTTTTAGGTACTGTATCTTTGTACTACATCCATTTCAGTGAAATACATCCATTCTCAACATAATTCCATTGCATAGTTATTCAAAGGCTTTGCTACTAAATATAGCACTTCATAAATAATTTAAAAACCTTATTAATATGGAAGTTCATGTATTGTACTGGGGGGGAAAAGCTTCCTGTAGCCACAGCATTGCATATTTCCAGGGCTTAATAAATGTCTTCCTCTCCATTAGTACTCAGTTGATGAAGTCAGTACTTTAAACACAAAAACAATATTTAAACATTCATGAGTAAAGTTAAGCACATAAATTCATAGTTAGATACCTACATATAGATGACTCCCCTTCAGAAACACCGAGTGCTCAGAGCCTCAGGTGCCTAAATATAGATTTAAATGCTTAAATCTAGCACCCAAGTCTGAAGATGTTAGCAAAAAGGATTCTTAGAATCCTATTGCTGTTTGGTGGGGCTGTGTGAAACAGCATCGTTCTGCTTTGACTTCCGTTCCGACGTTTCAACAAAACAGTGTTTCATCCAGCAGGCAGATCGGGGCCCGCACCCTCAGGAGCTGTCTGGCAAAGCCCCCGCAGCTCTCCCAGGAGTGCAGGAGAGCCCCCAATCTGTCTGCTGGATGACAGGAGGCTGGTGCTGCCAGCTGGGGTCAGCGGCAGCACCGATCTTCCTGGCACAGGCTGCATCCAGCTGGCAGCACCAGCCTCCTGTCATTTGCCAGGCAGATTGGTGGCTCGCCTGCACCCCCTGGAGGGCTGTGAGGGTGGTGCCAGACTGCTCCCGGGGGTGTGGGCCCTGATCTGCCTCCTGGACCACAGGAGGCTGGTGCTGCTGCCTGGGGCCATTGGCAGGCTGGCCTGGGGCAAATCAACTTGTGTGGAGACCCACCCCCACCCTGGGATCAGGGCTTATTTGCCCTGGGCCCCGCACCCTCCTCGGATTGGCTCTGGTGAGAGGCCTGGGGCAAATCAGTTCATGTGGGGACCCGACCCCAAGACAGTGGCGGCGGGTCCAGCACCAGAGCCAATCAGAAGAGGGTGTGGGACCTGGGGCAAATCAACTCATGTGTGGACCTGTCCCCACTTTGGAATCAGGGCAGTAGCAGGTCCCTGCATGAGCTGATTTTCCCCAGGCCCTATATCAGAGCCGATCTGGGGGGGCGGGGAGGCAGGGAGAACCAGGGAAGCACTCCCCATGGGGCTGAGCCACATGGGGCTGTGGAGCCACTCGGAGTGCAGCCCTGGCTCTCCCCTGTCTCCCACTACTGGGCTGCTTCGAAATTTGAAACATTTCAAAAGTTTCAAAATGTTTCAACTGGCCTCGTTTCGTTTCAAGGCTGTTTCAAAGCCATTAGTTTGATTTCAATTTCACTGTTTCAAGCACGAAATGGGTTGAAACAGTGCTGAAACAAAACAGCCAGCAAAGCTTCACACAGCCTTATTGTTTGGTAGGGAATCTGATTATTACCCAGTCGAAGTACTCATTCACACCTTGGGTCTCCAATAAGGGCAGGATGTCTTGTACCTTTCATTGCAGAGGTACAGTCTTTAGCAATTATTACAGCATGGAATCAGGAGTCTGGGATGGTAGATTTTATCCATATCTGTACAACTGATTCACTACAAGATCCTGGGGAAATCTATCCTATGCTTCACTTTAATCATCTGTATCATATTTACAAGCCCCTATAAAGAGGTGTTATGAGCATCAATTAACTCATATATATAAAGTGTTTTAAGATTCCCTGATAAAATATGACGTAGCAATGATAGGATAATAAGGAAAATGATTGATTACTAGTTTGCAGCCTGTATTACTCACTTAATGGAGTGAGTTAACTGGGATTAGACCCCAGGCAGAACAACAGCCACTATGCCACTAGAAACTTTAAGGAAATATTACTGAACTTAAAATAAAATGCTGCATTTTTGTTTCAAGGGAATATCACAAGAGAAAACTGCTGCAGTCTGATATTAACTTAACAGGATTGGGTTCATTATTCTTTAGAATTTTGAATGTATAAAAGTTCAATTACACTTCCTAAAGGTTCTGATAAAAATAATATCAAATGCAGTATTCCTACCTTTATTTGGTACTTATCTTACAACAAATTTGTTTAAGAAACATGAAGGATGTAGGTGCAATATTAAAATAATGTATAGAAAAGAAAGACAAAAGATACATGTTGAGCTGAAATTTGAAATGAGATAGAGAGTCAGTGAGGTAGACAGATACAGGAAGATTGTTCCAGACAGTAGGGGCTGAAAACGAGGAACATCTTACATTAGCAGTGAGAAGAGGACAAAGATAAGACCCATGTGAGACAGAAACACAGAAGGGAGTGGATAAAGACCAGGTCTGAGAGGATATCTCTCTCACAGTACATTAAGCCTAGGACATACCCTTTAAAATAATTTTAAAATAAATAAATTAGACCCTAACAGAAAATAGGTTTTCATTGGGAGTGTATATATAATAATATTTTTATACTTATACTGATATACAGTAATGTAGACATGTACTGTATGTGCATATGTTTGTGCTATATTTATTGTATAACTGTTATATTTATATTAGAGAATGAGGGGTATTGAAATAACCGACCTGCCCAGCTGCCCGGTGGTTCCCCCAACACCAGAGTTACCTCCAAGGTACGCTGAAATCTAGGGAGCTACCATTTTTTATGTCACTTTAGGAAGTCCCGCTTCTAAGGGGTGTCTGTTTGAGGGAATCATCGTTTCAGCTCATCAATGTTGGCTGATGCTGTGATGTCACTCCAAGAAGTACCTCATTCAGGAATAGTAATTCCAGGTAGTACCAAAATTCTACTTGGACAGATTATAATTTGGAAGTAAGCTGAGTATATAAAATATTCACCCTATTTGCAGGCATCCAAATGTTCCTGTTTGGATATATTCACCATTGACTCACACTGTTTCCTATCTTATATGTTTCTTCATGTCTTAAATTCAACTCCATTTTTAATGTACTGTTTTCCTGTTAAGAATAGGAATGTCAGAAAGCATAATATATGTACGTATTTCATTCTGCATTTATTAGTGATTCAAAGAGAAAAAAATCTACAGAAAATCTAAATGATGGAACTAGAAAAGAAAGGCTTTCATTTCTTCATTACTAGCTCATGCAAAGCCCAGTTGACAGCACATGACTATCTATCATCTGGTGGTGGATTGTTGATTAACGTTAAATGACTTTGGTGTTCTCAGTCCCTTTCACAGCAGACTGGTATCTATAGACAATATCAAATAAAGGCACCTACAAATTAGATGCTCTAATGCCAAACTGTTAGACCCACAGAATGGAATCAAGAGCCCAGAGTCAGGCATAAAATACAGAGGGAAGAGTTAAATCATCTCAAAACTTCTAGCATAATGAGCAGGGAGCCACCTAGAGCTAGAGAATAGAAACTACTGAATGCAGAGTGTGATTGAACACCTACCCTATTTCCTAGGGCTTAAGCACCAGACTCAGGACTTCAGGAAGGTACGTCCATTTACATGGGACCAGATTTCACAATGGCAAAAGCATATTCTCTAATAAGCCCCTACTGGTTAGAAAAGTTGTTCAAACCATGAGACACCCAGCTCCAGTGCTGCCCTCAGACAGAATATTCAAGCCCACATTTCTACCCTCCAAGAGAGTGTCCTAACCACAAAGCTATAGGCTAGGTTGGCTGGAGGCAGTCTATTGCCTTCCCATTGAAGCTGGATCACTGAGCAGAAAGTAATGGAAGAGGCATGGGGCCAGAAAGAAAGCATAGAAGAGGAAACATGATTCTATCCTAATGATATAGTTGTTAGGTGGGAAAGGGAAGTCCTGAGTTCTGGTGCCTGCTCCCAAACTACTTCTGCTCTTTCATCTAATGATTATTTAATATAAAATGTATACACAGCCCCTGGAAGCAAAGTCCAGAACTTAGGACTCCGGCTGCTTTCTGGTGACAGTCATAACCACTAGGATACAGATTCAAATTACTTCTTTCAGGCCCTATGAATCTTCCATTTTTTTTGCACAGTAGCACAGCTTCTACTCTTTCTTCACTCTACCCACCTAAGCCCATAGATAAGATCATTAGCCAGGAAGTGAGAACTGTGGGTTTGAACTCCTTCAAGCAGAGGAAGATACTGGACTTGGGTTTCCTACTTCCTGGGCAAGTACTTTAGCTATTAGGTTATTATGTAAAATATGGGCACAGTCTATACCTCCTCCAGGCGCATTTTAAAAGAAAATAGTTATGACTGAATCATCTGAGGGGCCAAATGTTGTCAGTGTATGCTGGAATTGCTTTGAGCATACCTAATGAATCAGGCCCCTCAAGCAGCGAAAGTGGAGTGGCATCTAGTTCCAAGAGCCTGATTGGCTTATACATGAGCTAAGCACTGGACTCTTGAGACTGGGGAACATCTGGGCATGTACAAAGATATTTTTGTCTCTTCCAGAACTTTCAGGTCACACATGGAGGTGCCTAGCAAGGTTAGGATTTAGGCTTGGGAATCGAGGGTTTGTGGACATGGGAAATTTATGCAATGACAGCATAAATCCGTACTTATCTATACTGCACAGCTCTGCCCAAGTGTCCATGCAGCACTTCAGGGCTAATGACAAAATAATAGGGCTAAATCAGCCCACGGCCATACTAATTAATTCCTGTGAAGCACCATGTAAATGCAGCTATGGATGCAACTTGTGTGGAGCAGCACAGAATGCTTGAAGGCACTACTATCTGCCATAGGATGCTTGACATTGAGAAATGAACTTAGTTACCTAAAATCTACCTAAGTTCTGTTTTAACACTTAAGTCCCTATTTGGATTTAGCTTTACAAAACTCTAGTACAGATAGCATTCACTAGCAACCTTTTGATATCTCCACAGAGAAGCCAAGGGTCAAATGGACCTAGACAGTGTAGCACTATTTCACTCCTAGTTAGATTACCATCTATGTGGCACTAAAGTCTATTTAAAAGGCATCATGATGAAATCTGCACTGCTGCCATCTGGGCTGTATATTTAATTTTGTAGGTAGAAAATGGCCATTCACAGAACTCAGGCTAGTATCTTTCATAGGAACTTAACTGACATAAACTATGGGGTTTTTTCCACTTTATAATGCGATTTACAAAAACAGGAAATAAATTAAGCTTCTTTGTTAGCTATCTAACACCAGTAACTAAACACTTTTCAAGCTGTACAAATAATTTTAATTTCAATCAATGTTCTTCCTTCTTGTTACAGGAAATGACGGACAACCTAAGCAATGGAGGCCCACATCTGATTTATAATGGAAGAGTGTACTAAGAGATTTAAAAGTTCAAGGAACAAAACGTTTTGAGATTTTCTTCAGGAAAAAAATATAAATAGCCACCAAGAGACTGATGTGAAACTGAAACAATCTTGGCTTTTATTACTAAAATTTCACAAGTGCAGAACAGCACAGTTGGAATTCCATTTAGAAGCGTGTACTAAATTCCTTTCCTAAGTACTTTGCTGATATATAATATTTATTCATCCCCCTTATAACCCTGATCCCCAACCTTTTTTGGTCTGATTAACTTTCCAAAATTGTGATAGCATTTGAAACAGACTTTTAAGACTCTTCTTCTCAAGAAGACTTTATAAAATCATTAAAAAGAAGAGAGATTAACCAGCAGCTTGTTTCATGAAGAAAGTGCAAATTGGACTTTAAAAAGCTTGCATTTCACATGCAGAGTACACATGAACAAATGATGGGCGTGCTGAAAACAACACTGATGTCTTTGTTTTGAAAGACAGAATGTTTTAAGAATGCCATAAATCAAAACCTCAACAATGCCTTGTTGTAAAGAGACTGTAAATATTTCCAATTTGTGAATGAAGTATATTTCGTAATTTGTTCATAAAAGATGACCAATAAAATGAAATCTAAAGCAAAGATTACTTCACTTTTTCTTTTTTAGAAAGATCTGTGAAGTTGGATCATCATATTTGCATTTTGCACAAGATATTGAGAGGTCAATAAGAAAAGGGTGGAAAAGGCACTGGCTGGAGGAGGGTGAGAACGGCATGGGTTGGCTAGGGCAGAACAACACACGCATACCTATGATGGTGTCTACTGAAGCAAAGGTATACCTCAAGGCTGGAGATGGCAAAATATTTTCTGCAACTAAAAATAAATTGTTGAAAATATAGCTTTGGAGTGATAGAAAAATGATTTCAGCAATTTATTTCACCCAAAAAAGGTGGGAAGGGGAAATTCACCACAGTCAAAACATTCTATTCTGATATTTTCCAAACAAAAGATTTTGGCTTTTCCTTTCAAATGTAGGCTTTCATTCTGAAGAAGTCCCAATTAAACAATGATTAAACAAAAAAGCTAAATAATCCAAAGCTAAATGAATAGCTTTGTTTCAGATACATAGAACATTCCAAATTATTCCTTTTTACTCAAAGGAAAAAATCTGTTTTGGATGAAGGAATCATTTGATTTTTCCCCTTGAGTAAAAAGTTGAGTACTAGTAGTTGAATGTTCAAATGATTCCTTCATCCAAAACAGATATTTACCTTTTTTCTCATTTCACCAAAATCACCTGAAAAATATTTTGGATCAGTCTTCATTATAGCATATAATATGCACATTTTATGTACATATAATATGTTAATATGCACATTATACAGGCACACATTGATCCATTACACACACACACACACACTCACACTACTTAGTGAAGACATGAGTGTGTACTGTAAAATAAATATTGTTATCCTCAGTTTGCTACAGGAGCATTTTAGTGGGTAGCAACATTACCCAGATGAATTTTGCAGGTCCTCCCTAATGAGTACAGATAGTACCTTTATTCCATGAATATGCAATCTAACTCATCAGAACTCAAAATAACTGGTTTACCCCAGCAGAGAGCAGCTTAAAAATTCCCAAAGTACAAGGCATTTGTTTCCAACTCAAGAAAGATATAAAATATCAGACCTTAAAATATTGTGTTTAATAATAAACAATTAAAAAGACTTGATTATTTATAAAGTTTTTATATTCCTTGCTAAACTGAAAGCACTTATGCATAGGCTTAACTTTAAGCATATGAGCAGTCCCAGGTTGGTGCTTTAGTTATAATTTTTCTTTCCTTAAAAAGGCTTTACAACTATGCTTTTTAAACTAGGGTAAGTGAATGTCAGAATGTTTTTGACATGGATTCCTACTTGAAATTTCTGGGTTTGTCTCATGAATCATGGCTGTACAACTAACTGTTTTAATATTGTGTGGTGTCCCCTTTAAAAGGATCTTATGGCATCCCAGGGTGCCATGGCTGGATGCAAATCACTGGCCTAGACACTTATTTTATAGTTTAAATTAAAGCTGCAATGCAAACATATGACTTCTGAAGTTGGAGCTTTAAGAAAATATGTGAAATGTTTAATAAAACTATGAGATTAGCCACATAACCTTTAACTAGAAACTATGCCCTAAAATAAGAAGCCACTTGGTAATGGTTTGGTAAGAAATTCCTATTCATAATTCTGACTGAGAATAACTGCTTTATAGGCTGAGGCAAACTTCCAGTTGCCACAGCTGTGCATCGCAAGTTGAGTACTAGTAGCTGAATGTTCAAATGATTTATAGACACAAAGCCATCGCCTCTCAGCATGATGGTGATATCAAGTAGGGGAGGTGGAACATCTAACTGCAGTATACCCAAATGAGCTCCCAAGTACAACATCTATGTCTTCTGTCTTTACAAGTGGAAGGAGCATTTGCTTTTCTAGAGGATGGGAGTTAACTTAAAGTCTGGATCCCAAAATGCCATGGAACTGTATCAGTGCTGTTACTTTTCTGCAGAGGTGGGGAACAAGGCACAGGCTCTGAGCCAAAAAAACAAGACAAAACAAAACAAAGTATAATGAAATTGCTTCTTCTGATTTTGCTGCCAAGAATGTGGAATGTAGACAAGCAGGCCAAGGACTACAATATGAATTCTTCATTTATGCCTTCTGTGAAAGCCTTTAAAATGAAAAACTGATAACTAGGAGACCTACATAACAAGTGTGACAGTGAAAAGATTGCTTCTTCTTGAGAAATAAAACATGTTTTTAATGTAAAATTAAATGACCAAAACTTTACAAGACGCTCATAAAAATAATGTACCTGGAAAATATTTTAACCACTAATGCAGTTTCATTCCTTAAGTGTGAGCACAGTTCTATTCAAACAGAAGTTTTTCTGAACATTTTCATTAATGGTAGGATTGGAGAAAAGATTATTGAATCAGGTATGTAAATCATGTTAATGATTGAGGCATTAATTTTCTGAACACATGTAACAACATATTAAAGCCAAAGTTTTCAAACTCAACAGTCTAAAAGAGTGTCATTGAAATCCATTTTAGGTACATAAGTAACTGGCCTGATTTTTCAGAGATGCTCAAACTTTCACTGACTTCAGTGCAGTTATTCCTGACTAATGCTGCAGTGAAAATAGACAAAAGCCCAAATTCTTTCAGAAAAACTGAACACAGGAATCTCTTTCCTTGTTTACTGTGACAAAGTCTTAGTGAAAGCTACCACCCCCACCAGCAAATAGGTTGAAACTGCAGTCTCTCTTCCTTCATAGCTATGTGGAACAATTGTATGCTCATGGTAATGACCTGCAACCCCTGTGGAACACTTGGAACTGGGAATCAGGTGATCTGTTTCTATATAATAAAAAATAAAATTTAGAAAGTATGAGTATAAGTATTTGTGAGCTCTTTCATTGTTACAGCTTGCCTGTGCTTTGCTTGAGAAATTGGCCAACAAGCTTGACCCCTTTCAAGTCCCCTGGGATGCAAAAGACAGTACTGTACAGGCAGTGTTTTGAGATTTAATTAGACAATTCACAACCGGCATAGCACTGGTTGCCTTAGATAAATGAATCACAGTGAAAACATGTCAGAAGGCAAGAGGATGGAGATATCCCTGAAATCTTATCTAGAAAAATTTCCTCTGTAAGGATGTTATCTCGTGGGTCAAACTGCTTAATGTGGTTCCATAAAGGGTTAATTGTTTAAGATAAAAGATACAAAGTGGATGTGATTAATCCTTCTTATTATGTATATTAACTTTTAGCGAGATTATAGAGAAATCTGTGCCTGCCAATTTATAGAACTTTGGTATTTAATAAGTGCAGACTGTGGCAGGTGCAGAGATCCCACCTCAGGAACACAGCTGGGTATTCGTATCCCTCCGCTGTTTCCACCACGTGAGGCGGGCCAGTAGGGGGCGCTCCTGCATTGAGCCGCTCACCTCCCTGTGCCCGACCACCTTTCAGGCTCCGAATGCCTCCCTAGGGGCGCCTTATGTTCGGCCGACCCCTCTCCTGGAGCACACTCACTAGTCTGGGGGTAACGTGCTGCCACCACCCCGAGAGTGGACTGTCTTGGCCCTGTATCCTCGGGGAAAACACAGGCCTAATAGTCCTATGGGTACGCGACCCAATACAGGCCCTTGGGGTACTTCCCCAAGTCCGGGGGCAAAAAGGAAAGTCTCCCTTAGTCCGCAGACCTAAGGGGTCTCTTAGGCATAATTTAGACCCACCCCTCAATAAGTCTCCCACACCAGTCAAAAAGGAGAACTTTATTGATTACAAGGGGTAGGGTAAACTAGGGTACAGGATTGAGCAATATCTTAGAAATCCTAAAGAGCAAACAGTCTGGCTGTGGTAGCCTTTTGATTACGCATCTGTGATACCTCCAGCTAAATATCTAATCAGATTGAGTAGCTTACTCACAAGCATCTTCCAAAGGCAGGTGAAGTTTCCCTTTGGAGGCAGGTGGTTCCTAGCTCGTGAGTTTGGGGGGAGAGAGCCAGTTTCAGATGTTAAGGCTTCTCTGTCCCCTGCCTGGCTGCTGCGTCACCTCATGGCCGGAGAGGAGAGACCGCCTCCTTCCCCGTCCTAACTTATATAGCCCCTGTGACCTCATTCACCTGGGCCAGCGGAGGTCAGCCCCAGTTGGCTGTCAGCCAACCAATCTGAAATGCATCACCTGTTACCGGGCAGATTCCAGCTCCCCAGGTAGATGCCCCTCACCCAGGTACCAGTCACGTAGGCAGAGGGAGCAAGTTTTCCCCCTCCCTCAGGAATGCAGCCAGCTCAAGTTCCCTAAAAAGACAGGCTGAGGGTGTGGTCCCCTGTGTGCTGGGCCCATCCTAATTGAATGGTCACAGCACAGAGATTTAAATCACAGTGTCACAGGGCAGAGATTTTTGGGGAAAAACCAAGGTGGCTTTCTGCCACACAGACATGCACTGAATTCAGAACAATCAACAGAAAATGGATTATTGCAAATTGGGAAGAACATGGAGCAAATTGGTGCACAGAATATCTATTTAAAAGCTTTGCACTGTTCTGCCCTGAATACATATTTATTGCATTAAGACAAATTGGCATTAACTCGGACAGCGGTGAGGTCAGGTTCAATGCTAAATTTATACGAGGCAGTGCATAATCACAAATAGATATTCATATTAGAGCTTTCCTTAAGGCTATGATTTTGTCTGGTAAAGTCATCTTCGAGCTGTCAAGAGAGTATCAGCCCACTCTAAAGAGATGTAATATAGTTAAATACTAAGGCAGACACAGAAGCTCTATATCAGGGCTGTCCAACAGCTGAGCAGCCAACGGCCCCCACATGGGCTACACATGTGCAAATCACAGGCCCCCAAGCCATAGGCCTCCAAGCCACCCCCCTAGCTGCACCACACATGCAAGTGGCACCTCCCTCAACAACCCACGGCTGCACGTGTGGGTGACCTCACTTCCCACCTCCAACACCACACTATGTAGGTGGACCCCATCTGAACTCCCTTGCTGCATTGCGGCATGGGCTCCCCCAGTGCTGTGAGCTGTGCTGCCCTGCCCCTTAGGCAGCTGGAGTAATA